TCCCCATGGGGAGTGGGCCTAAGCCGGCAGGCGGACATCCCCCGAGGGGTCCTTAGCGCTGCCATAGAGGTGGGAGAGGCTCCCACCACCGCTGCTGCACTCGCCAGCCGTCAGCCCGGCTTCTGGCTGAGCAGTGCACCCCCTGTGGGAGTGCACTGACCACCAGGGGGCAGCTCCTGTGTTGAGCATCTGTCCCCTGGTGGTCAGTGCGTGTCATAGCGACCGTTGTCCCACCGTTTAGTTGATTTGCATATTAGCCTTTTATTATATAGGATATCAGTTAATAAGCAGAATTTACACTTGCATAGTGTCACCCAATCTAAAACCTATATATTAAATTATAACAAGTTAATTGATCTCTTGCTGGAAACGAATATATCAATAAACATGAGTAATTTATGCTACATGGTAAATTCCCATCAGAGGTGTCTGGGAAGAAGGAATCACTGGCATTTCGACACCCAATCAACAGAGTAAGAACACAGAACAAGGAAAGTCTTATCAAACACCTATCGGCCTGAGGCACCTCAAGGCTCCCCTCAGGTAAGGGAGGAAGAGGGGTCAAATGACCCCTCAACTGCAGCCCGCAGGGCACCGGCCCTGGGTGTCAGAGGGAATCAGAGGTGGGCAGGTTACCCTTGGAAATTCAAAGAGCACTAGCAGTTTTCATAGGGAGGGGCGAGCCACAGGGGCCAACTGTCTGTAAATATGTCAGCTAAGAAAAAAAATTAAATATCAGTATGACTTAAAAGAAAATGCTAGCCCTAACCGGTTTGGCTTCGTGGATAGAGCGTCAGCCTGCGGACTGAAAGGTCCCAGGTTCGATTCCGGCCAAGGGCATGTACCTTGGTTGCGGGCACATCCCCAGTACGAGGTGTGCAGGAGGCAGCTGATCAATGTTCCTTTCTCATCGATGTTTCTAACTCTCTATCTCTCTCCCTTCCTCTCTGTGAAAATCAATAAAATATATTTAAAAAAAAAAAAGAAAAGAAAAAAGCAAATGCTAAGCCCTAGCCGGTTTGGCTCCGTGGATAGAGTGTCAGCCTGTGGCCTTAATGCTCCTGGGTTCAATTCTGATCAAGGGCACATGCCTGGGTTGAGGGCTCGATCCCCAGGGTGGGGCGTGCAAGCTGCAGCCGATCAATGATTCTCTCTCATCATTGATGTTTCTCTCTCTCTTCCTTCCTCTCTGAAATCAATAAAAGTATATAAAAAAAGAAAATGCTAAGATCTAATATTCCAATTAGTTCCAATTATTTTGCCTGGATTGTTAACTTTGTTTGGAAATTGAGGCATGAGGAAAGCCTGGGCTGCTTGGGGGGAAGCATGCGCCCTGGAGTCAGTCATGAAGGAAACCCCACTTGGCTGGTCCCCTCGGAGCTGGCCCCCGGAGCCAGGCTGGTGGGCAGTGGAGGCGGCGGCAGCGTGGTCAGGCATCGCACATGGCGCGTGGACACAGAAGGGACTCAGTGCGTGGTGGCGATCATCCTTACAACTGGGTTGGAACTGACATTTGAAGATAAAATCATTATTTTAAAGATTCTGTTTTTAATTGGGCCTTCTTTGGGCAGACATACAGGGCCGTAGGAGTAAGTGCCACGCAATGGGGTAACAAATGTGGCGTCGAGGCCCTGGTCACATGCTCAGGGCAGACACTGGAACCGCACCTGCTTCTGAAAACTGAATGGGAGTCTGAGTATGTAAAAAACGTATTTATGTTTATGTTTTTTTCCAAAGGAAAAGAGAAGATGGAATGTAACAGCAGAAACTAATTAGTTGCACAAATGTCAGAAGG